TCCCACCTGTACGGTTTTGTTCATTTGTTGTTCGCTAATAACATCCTTATGTCCCAGCTGTAAGGTTTTGTTCATTTGTTGTTCGCTAATAACATCCTTATGTCCCAGCTGTAAGGTTTTGTTCGTGTGTTTTTCGCTAATAAAAAACTGGGACACTTTCTCTATCCCGTCAACATTTGATCGCTAGCACCCGTGTAATAGTTTACGTCTAAATATGTCTCTATAGTGCTATAATGTTTCTGGTGATTGTTTCTGCGCAGAGCCGACCGCCGCTCGAAGCTCATCTCCGCTCCGACCAACTTCACACACGTGCAGCACATGGGGCCGGGCGGTACGGTTCAACACACGAACCTGGCGTCCAGGTAAGCTAGCAGCGCCCTCTGGCCTCCCTCTGGCCACTGCGACGGCTGCTCTTGTGTTTGTCTGCGTTGCAACTGCGTGCCGATGGCCGCGATATAACGAGCGACATTTGCGATGGCTGCTCTTGTGTTTGTCCGCGTTGCGACTGCGCGCCTATTGTCGTGCGAGGCGACGAATGACACGGCTGCTCTTGTGTTGTTGCAGGGAGGAGCGACACATGGACCCACGTACGAAGCTCATCTCCGGTCCGCTTAACTTCTCGCACGTCGCACACGTCGGCCCGGGCGAGGGCGTGCAGCTGCAGCAGATGCTGAAGCAACCGCCCGTGGTGAGTGCCCGCCAGGGGGCGCCGACAGGCTGCGATTTTGCCGTGCAGGAAGTGTCCACTAGGTGGTGCTCTTGCTGTGCAGAATGTATCCACCAGGTGGCGCCATCTTCATTTGCACTATTCACTGCGCTAAATAGATGACAGCACTGTGCAGTTAGATGGGTTGCCTTCTTGGTGCAGCATCCCACTTACAAGATAGATTTGTGCGATTCGCTCGGAAAAAACGATTGATCATTGGTTACATCACTGGTTATGGCAATTAATCGGTTAGGATTAACGAGGTTACTAACGACACCGTACTACCCCGATTTACGACTACTCAGCTATGCAGATCACTGAGCTAATTGCAGTGATTTTGCATATATGTTTGTCTATATTATTATTATATTATTTATTCTTTTATATTATATTATATATTATTTTATTTATATATATATATTATTTTGCATTGTATAGCCTCCAGGTGGCGCCAAACGGCCGCCGAAGGAAGGCGAGGACAGTAGGTTCCAGAAGGTTCGCAGCATGTTCCAGCCATCCGCTCAGCTTCTCTCCAGCCGCCAGCAACGACCTGTGAGCGTCATCGCATCGCAGGACTCCAACGGTGAGTGAGCTGCTCTCTTGTTTGTAGGTGGTGCTAGCGCTCGCACGCTTGTTTGTCGTCGGACGAACGATGGCCGACGATCGTTTCAGCGCGATCGCCGTATTTGTAGAGGGCGCCTGCTGTCCCGGATATGGCGGCGTGGTGAGGCGTGTGTTGTGTAATACCGCTATCCTTCTACTCATGTGTTACCCGTGATCGTTAGGGTCTGCGTATGTTATTAGAGATACCGCTGCTTTACATCATACATAAATTAGTCAACAACGAAGTTACGTGTTCTAAAGCACAAGCATCTTTACTGCATATATTACGGTAACGTGGACGCCCCTAGTGATAGGCGTCCCGTGAACAGAAAGGTGCGCGACACAACATACACTTACATATGAATCGGTGAGGTAGTTAGCTGGTACGGCAACAGATGGGTAGACTTGTCTTGACTGAGTGTAAACTAGTAGCGCAGGCCGTAATTTCATAAACCGCGCTTTAAATAGTGACGCGGTCGTCATTGTCTTAGTCCCCGCGTTCCCATTGGTTGACCCCGGTTGAGTGACCGTTGGTCAAGCGTGCTACTGCACGTGCCTTCCTATAGGCTGGTTCGGGCCTTTTAACTACGCCCCTTTTGACCCCCTCAGCCTGCGTGCGTTCCTTAAGAACAAAGGGCTTTGTTCTTAGCATTCTCATTTCCAGTTCTCATTACTTATTATTATTATTACTGAACTTATTATTATTTTCCGTATTACAGTTGCTGCTCGCGCTAACGCTCGCATTGTTGTTGTTGTTGTAGGTGCGGGCGGCGCGGCGCGAGAGCCCGGTCTCTCCACACGGTCAGCATCTTCCTTCACGTCCGTCTCGTCAGTCGAGTCGTCGGCACACGAAAACCTCCACCTCGCCGGCACAAACGACGTGAGTACAGCGCGTGTGGATGCGCGTTTATATCATTATCATGTATGTACATTATATCGTTATGTATGTACATTATATCATTATGTATGTACATTATATCATTATGTATGTACATTATATCATTATGTATGTACGTTATATCATTATGTATGTACATTATATCATTATGTATGTACATTATATCATTATGTATGTACGTTATATCATTATGTATGTACATTATATCATTATGTCGTTATATAATTTATATTTAGGGGCTGACGTGAGTTCCACATGCAGGCCCGTGTGCCGCTGATGCATGTTTATATCGTCATTTATATACATTATATCGTTATATCGTTGTATATTTAGGGGTTGATGTGAGCATCATGTTCAAGCCGGCGGCGAGCGATTGATTTGATTGCTAGATTTCTGTGAGATAAAACTAGGAATTAAGGGTGGAATAATTCAATCAATAAATCAATAACGAGTGACCTCCGGTTTAGAAGCGGAAGGCTGCTGTGCACAAGTGTGTATTTGAGTACGTACGTGCGTGCGCGTGAGTATGTAACACCGCTATACTAACATGTGCAACCATCGTATACATGTTTTAGGGCAGCAGCGGCAGTGGCGGAGCAGGAGGAGGAGGAGGAGGAGGAGGAGGAGGGGGAGGTAGCCCGAGTCATTCCGTCGGCTCGAACACGAGCTCGAACCTGAGCAGTGAGCCGAGCCCGCAGACGCACCGCTACCAGTACACGCCCGGCGAGTCGGAGAGTTGATTCCCCCTTCTCGCATAGCACTAGTCCTCCTCGTTCCCCCTTCCCCCACGCTCCCCCCCCCCACTCACCCTAGTGTGTCATCGATGCAGCTTATCAGTGGTTGTCACGGCGCAGCGTCGCCGCGGTCGCGAGGATGCACACCAGAGGGCGCCGTACGCTTTCCCTACCAGGTGGCGCTGTGTGCACGGCGCACCAGGCCGCTACTGTATATGTTGTGCAGCGGATGTTACTCTGTCGTGCTCGCGAGATACTCTCTATGCCGCTTACCAGGTGTCGCTGTGCGGCTCAGCAGATATCTCATGAGATACGTAGAGTATATATCAATATCAAGAGTAGATAATAGTAGATAATAGATAATAACAAACTATCTCTATTATCTACTCTTTATATATATACATACGTTGTCCCTGATTTTTGCCATTCTGGGTAAGCGCGTGCAACATGGCCATTCCTTACCGAGACCGATTCACGTGTCTGTATGATAGCAGCGGTCTTATCGCCGATAATAATTTATTAGCTAGTCGAATATATAATTAGGGCTTCGCACGACTTCACCGGTAGTTTGTTAAGACCGGTAACCAAGGTAACCGAGGTGCTCACGTCAGTGCAGTGTGTTCCGACAGATTCCTTTGTCGCATTCACGTGAGATGAGATGATCTGCCTCTCCGCGCGTCGCTCGCTGTGACAGAGTCACAGACGTGCGGATAGGGCGTCGTCGAAAACTTTGTCGCGATCTTGGATTATAGAGATGGTGCCGCTATCGCTCTTTAATTTCTGAAGAATCGTGCGAGGAGTTGATTACGAGGGAACACGCGAGTTGTGTGAGATGTTCTTCTGTTTCACACCGGTCTACGTGTGACGACGGTTCTCCGTTTACGCGCGGCACGGGAAGCAGACTCGTTTCCGTGGTAACGGAGATATGCTGTCTGTCGATTCTTTTCGGCTTCTTACCGTGTGCAGCGAAAACCTGCAGGCTTCGAAATCGTTGCTACTCGTGCGTGGCTAGCTCGTGTTTGCGTTCGGGCAAGGCAACGCCGCGCTAGCTTTAGCGTGCTAGAGATGGCCGCCGTCGTTCAATTTAGAGTGCAAGGTTTTTTACTCGAGTCGACGTTTAGTTGGCATACTGTGTTTTAGCTAGGATGGGATGACATCGGTGAAAGGTGGTCACTTTCCTCGTGCCGCGCGATCAGGACACCAGCAACTTCGGTGCGATCAAGCTCAAACTTCGGTTTCGTTTTTTGTTGCAATGGCTTCACGCTTCGCTGTGATTTGATGCGGTCGCGGCGGAGACGCAACGGTCGCTCATCAGGTTCCCGCGCTCGCGTTTTAATGTACACTGCTGCGACCTGGCGTGTGGATCGGTAATTTTACGTCACAATCTTTAGAAGCGTGCCGCGAGAGAACGGCATCTGTAATTTTCGTGTCTGGTTTTAATTTGGTCGGTGGCGATCGCCGCTCGTAGATATTAATATTACGCAGTTTTTCCTATTTGGTGTACAGAGCCATTCTGTGGCAATTTTAAATAATTTTGGCCTGCGTGTGATTTATATAGTGTAGGTTATATATTTAGGGAGTATGTAAATTTATGAGGGTAGTCGCCATTGACACTGGCGACGGGAGACAACTTTTGCACATTCGTTGCAAGGCGGAAGGCGGATGGGAGGAGAGTTTAAACATGATAGCTTCTGTATTTAATGCGCAGTGTTTGGGTCGGAAATGGAACAAGGACGGTTTTTAATTCGTGACATCGTCTCGAGCTGGCTAGGGCCATACGTACGAGTCTCACAAACAAGGTGACAGAGGTGGCCACTGGTGCTCCCCTGGCCGTCCCAAACTGCGAGTGCAAGGCTCACACGAAAACCTGGCGCAACCCGGCAGAATCGACACCATGTACACGACCGACTCGTAACCCAGCGCACTATGCGAAAGATTTGCTGTTTATTATTGTATTACGTTACATTTTTATATGTATGGAGACACGTGTTTAAATTCTGCAATGGTACGCATCCCCATGCATTCACGCGAGACACGCAGCCAGTCTCAGTTGACAGTTGCCGTAGTGATCGTTACCATAGTAATGTAAAAACTTATGTAAAAACTTATTGAGGTCAGTGTGAAATTTTGGTGTACAACTGTAATGAAATAAATATCGTACGATTAAATCCATAATGTAAAATGTGGTATAACCTACCTTTGGTTGTTAAAATTTATTGTTTGTTGGCATGTTTGAATGTATGTATATGTATAAATCAGGGTAAAAAATACACGGGAGCGATGAGCGATTCGCTCATCAAACCTCCGAAATCGCTCTCGTGAGGCTCAAAATAGCTCCCGTAAAATTTTTGATGGGAGCTATTTTTCCCACAGACTTGAAAAAGAGCTCCCGTCAAAAAAAAAATTTATTTTTTCCCTGGTATATCTATTATTATTCACTCCTGGGTATCTTATGTAAAAGTTGGTAAAACCACCACAAGATGCTTGCATTTAAAGTGAACTACTCGGCCATATATTTTTCCTTGCAAGAAATAATTTTTTAATACAAACAAATACTAGCAAGTATAACACTACATTAACATTTAGTCTTGTATAATAAATAACTCACTCATTTTAGTGTCTCTAATTAACAGTAACAGCGAGCGTGTCACACGGGGGGCGGGGGGTTACACGTCAGCTTTTCCTCAGCTCGTACATGAAGTACTCTAGTCCGTTACGCTCGCCCAGCAGCGAGAAACGAACGCTGGCGCCACCGCCGCGAGTCGTCTTCGCAAAATCCTCCAGCAGGGGGAGCCGCATCTCCGGGTCTTCGTCCGTGAACATGAGCAGGCTGCCACCAGGCGTCAGCACCCTCGCGCACTCGCCAAACATGCGCAGCGCGAGCGCGCGGCCGCCGCCCGCGTCCTTCAGCACCGAGTCGGACGTTCCCTTGTCCGTCACAAGGTGGAAGCACCCGTCGACGTACGGCAGGCGTGCGGCGTCGGCCGCGGTGAACGTGAGCGCGCCGGCAACGCTGTTAGACGACGCTCCGCCCGCCGCCGCTACCCGGTACGTCCGCGCGGCCGCCGCTAGCGCCCCCTGGGAGAAGTCGAGGCAGTGAACGAAGCACGGGTAGTGAGTCGCCAGCCTCAGCGCGAGGTCCGACGTTCCGCTGCCGATATCCAGCACCTGTGAGACGAAATGCGAGACGCGGTGAGGCGCACGTCGGGGACCTTTGTTGTCTCGCTACTTTAAAAATGAACCTTGTGTTTTAATGCTCGCTAAAAAGATATCGATATTTAAACGATTGCTATTTAAGCGAAGAGAACTAGGACAATTTCACATACTAATCTTCGTCGACCCGTGGTTTATTGAGCATAACTCAACAAATGTAGATTTAAATGTTAAATATACGTACAATAACCACAATACCCCAGCACAATATGATAAATTAAATCAATCAAAGTTAAGTTTCTGTCCTTATATGGAATGTTGTAGCAGTCATACGTTACACTCCTCATTATTATCCCTATCTGTTTATTAAAGGGACAGTAGCCTCTAGGATTTTACTGCATACAACTGTACTTACTGTTTCTTTGGAATAGCTTAAAAAATACAGTAATGTCTGCGAGCCAGCTGCTCTGAGAACAACTAGTTAGAAAATGGCAAAACTTTTCAGGAAAAAGATCACACGAGATCACTGAAATATGAATAAAAAATCAGGAAAGAAGTAACAGACAAAAGTAAATCAG